ACACTGCGTGTGATGATGACAATGACACTGTGTGTGATGATGACAATGACACTGCGTGTGATGATGACAATAACACTGTGTGTGATGATGACAATGACACTGTGTGTGATGATGACAATGACACTGTGTGTGATGATGACAATAACACTGTGTGTGATGATGACAATGACACTGCGTGTGATGATGACAATAACACTGCGTGTGATGATGACAATGACACTGTGTGTGATGATGACAATGACACTGTGTGTGATGATGACAATGACACTGTGTGTGATGATGACAATGACACTGCGTGTGATGATGACAATAACACTGCGTGTGATGATGACAATGACACTGCGTGTGATGATGACAATGACACTGTGTGTGATGATGACAATGACACTGTGTGTGACGATGACAATGACACTGCGTGTGACGATGACAATGACACTGCGTGTGATGATGACAATGACACTGCGTGTGATGATGACAATGACACTGTGTGTGATGATGACAATGACACTGTGTGTGACGATGACAATGACACTGTGTGTGATGATGACAATGACACTGTGTGTGACGATGACAATGACACTGTGTGTGATGATGACAATGACACTGCGTGTGATGATGACAATGACACTGTGTGTGATGATGACAATGACACTGCGTGTGATGATGACAATGACACTGCGTGTGACGATGACAATGACACTGCGTGTGATGATGACAATGACACTGCGTGTGATGATGACAATGACACTGCGTGTGATGATGACAATGACACTGTGTGTGACGATGACAATGACACTGTGTGTGATGATGACAATGACACTGTGTGTGACGATGACAATGACACTGCGTGTGATGATGACAATGACACTGCGTGTGATGATGACAATGACACTGTGTGTGATGATGACAATGACACTGTGTGTGACGATGACAATGACACTGTGTGTGATGATGACAATGACACTGTGTGTGACGATGACAATGACACTGTGTGTGATGATGACAATGACACTGCGTGTGATGATGACAATGACACTGCGTGTGATGATGACAATGACACTGTGTGTGACGATGACAATGACACTGTGTGTGATGATGACAATGACACTGCGTGTGATGATGACAATGACACTGCGTGTGATGATGACAATGACACTGTGTGTGATGATGACAATGACACTGTGTGTGATGATGACAATGGACACTGTGTGTGGATGATGACAATGACACTGTGTGTGATGATGACAATGACACTGCGTGTGATGATGACAATGACACTGTGTGTGATGATGACAATGACACTGTGTGTGATGATGACAATGACACTGTGTGTGATGATGACAATGACACTGTGTGTGATGATGACAATAACACTGTGTGTGATGATGACAATGACACTGTGTGTGATGATGACAATGACACTGCGTGTGATGATGACAATGACATTGTGTGTGATGATGACAATGACACTGTGTGTGATGATGACAATGACACTGTGTGTGATGATGACAATGACACTGTGTGTGATGATGACAATGACACTGCGTGTGACGATGACAATGACACTGTGTGTGATGATGACAATGACACTGTGTGTGATGATGACAATAACACTGCGTGTGATGATGACAATGACACTGTGTGTGATGATGACAATGACACTGCGTGTGACGATGACAATGACACTGTGTGTGATGATGACAATGACACTGTGTGTGATGATGACAATGACACTGCGTGTGATGATGACAATGACACTGTGTGTGATGATGACAATGACACTGTGTGTGACGATGACAATGACACTGCGTGTGATGATGACAATGACACTGTGTGTGATGATGACAATGACACTGTGTGTGACGATGACAATGACACTGCGTGTGATGATGACAATGACACTGTGTGTGATGATGACAATGACACTGTGTGTGATGATGACAATGACACTGTGTGTGATGATGACAATGACACTGCGTGTGACGATGACAATGACACTGTGTGTGATGATGACAATGACACTGTGTGTGATGATGACAATGACACTGTGTGTGATGATGACAATGACACTGTGTGTGATGATGACAATGACACTGGTGTGACGATGGACAATGACCACTGTGTGTGATGATGACAATGACACTGTGTGTGATGATGACAATGACACTGCGTGTGATGATGACAATGACACTGTGTGTGATGATGACAATGACACTGTGTGTGATGATGACAATGACACTGTGTGTGACGATGACAATGACACTGCGTGTGATGATGACAATGACACTGTGTGTGATGATGACAATGACACTGCGTGTGACGATGACAATGACACTGTGTGTGATGATGACAATGACACTGCGTGTGATGATGACAATGACACTGTGTGTGATGGGCAATGACACTGTGTGTGATGATGACAATGACACTGCGTGTGATGATGACAATGACACTGTGTGTGATGATGACAATGACACTGTGTGTGATGATGACAATGACACTGTGTGTGATGATGACAATGACACTGCGTGTGATGATGACAATGACACTGTGTGTGATGATGACAATGACACTGCGTTGTGACGATGACAATGGACACTGTGTGTGATGATGACAATGACACTGCGTGTGATGATGACAATGACACTGTGTGTGATGATGACAATGACACTGTGTGTGATGATGACAATGACACTGCGTGTGATGATGACAATGACACTGTGTGTGATGATGACAATGACACTGTGTGTGATGATGACAATGACACTGTGTGTGATGATGACAATGACACTGTGTGTGATGATGACAATGACACTGCGTGTGACGATGACAATGACACTGTGTGTGATGATGACAATGACACTGTGTGTGATGATGACAATAACACTGTGTGTGATGATGACAATGACACTGCGTGTGATGATGACAATGACACTGTGTGTGATGATGACAATAACACTGTGTGTGATGATGACAATGACACTGTGTGTGATGATGACAATGACACTGCGTGTGATGATGACAATGACACTGTGTGTGATGATGACAATGACACTGTGTGTGATGATGACAATGACACTGTGTGTGATGATGACAATGACACTGTGTGTGATGATGACAATAACACTGTGTGTGACGATGACAATGACACTGTGTGTGACGATGACAATGACACTGCGTGTGACGATGACAATGACACTGTGTGTGATGATGACAATGACACTGTGTGTGATGATGACAATGACACTGTGTGTGACGATGACAATGACACTGTGTGTGACGATGACAATGACACTGTGTGTGATGATGACAATGACACTGTGTGTGATGATGACAATGACACTGTGTGTGATGATGACAATGACACTGTGTGTGATGATGACAATGACACTGTGTGTGATGATGACAATGACACTGCGTGTGACGATGACAATGACACTGCGTGTGATGATGACAATGACACTGTGTGTGATGATGACAATGACACTGCGTGTGACGATGACAATGACACTGCGTGTGATGATGACAATGACACTGCGTGTGATGATGACAATGACACTGCGTGTGATGATGACAATGACACTGCGTGTGATGATGACAATGACACTGTGTGTGATGATGACAATGACACTGTGTGTGATGATGACAATGACACTGTGTGTGATGATGACAATGACACTGTGTGTGATGATGACAATGACACTGTGTGTGATGATGACAATGACACTGTGTGTGATGATGACAATAACACTGTGTGTGATGATGACAATGACACTGCGTGTGATGATGACAATGACACTGTGTGTGATGATGACAATGACACTGTGTGTGATGATGGACAATGACACTGTGTGTGATGATGACAATGACACTGTGTGTGATGATGACAATGACACTGTGTGTGATGATGACAATGACACTGTGTGTGATGATGACAATGACACTGTGTGTGATGATGACAATGACACTGTGTGTGATGATGACAATGACACTGTGTGTGATGATGACAATGACACTGTGTGTGACGATGACAATGACAATGCGTGTGACGATGATAATGACACTGTGTGTGATGATGACACCGTGTGTGATGATGACAATGACACTGCGTGTGACGATGACAATGACACTGTGTGTGACGATGACAATGACACTGTGTGTGACGATGACAATGACACTGTGTGTGACGATGACAATGACACTGTGTGTGACGATGACAATGACACTGTGTGTGACGATGACAATGACACTGTGTGTGACGATGACAATGACACTGTGTGTGATGATGACAATGACACTGTGTGTGACGATGACAATGACACTGTGTGTGACGATGACAATGACACTGTGTGTGACGATGACAATGACACTGTGTGTGACGATGTGTGATGATGACAATGACACTGTGTGTGATGATGACAATGACACTGTGTGTGATGATGACAATGACACTGTGTGTGATGATGACAATGACACTGTGTGTGATGATGACAATGACACTGTGTGTGATGATGACACCGTGTGTGACGATGACAATGACACTGTGTGTGATGATGACAATGACACCGTGTGTGACGATGACAATGACACTGTGTGTGATGATGACAATGACACTGTGTGTGATGATGACACCGTGTGTGACGATGACAATGACACTGTGTGTGATGATGACAATGACACTGTGTGTGATGATGACAATGACACTGTGTGTGATGATGACACCGTGTGTGACGATGACAATGACACTGTGTGTGATGATGACACCGTGTGTGACGATGACAATGACACTGTGTGTGATGATGACAATGACACTGTGTGTGATGATGACACCGTGTGTGACGATGACAATGACACTGTGTGTGATGATGACACCGTGTGTGATGATGACAATGACACTGTGTGTGATGATGACACCGTGTGTGACGATGACAATGACACTGTCCGTGACGATGGCGTCGTGCGTGACCACAAGCACAATGATGGTGATGACGCCGCCTTGCCTCCTTCGTGTGATTGTTGATGCCCTTGAACACCTTCCCAAACGAGCCCTTGCCAATCCTCTCCTGCTTGGTGAACAACTCCTCTGGGTCTGCCTTGGTCCTCTGCGAATAAACAACAACAACACAACAATGACACCACCACACTGTGTTCAACAACAACCGCCACCACCACACTGTGTTCGACAACCACCACCACCACCACACTGTGTTCGACAACCACCACCACACTGTGTTCAACAACCACCACCACCACACTGTGTTCAACAACAACCACCACCACCACACTGTGTTCAACAACCACCACCACCACACTGTGTTCAACAACCACCACCACCACACTGTTCAACAACCACCACCACCACCACACTGTGTTCAACAACAACCACCACCACCACACTGTGTTCAACAACAACCACCACCAGTACACTGTGTTCAACCACCACCACACTGTTCAACAACAACAACCACCACACTGTGTTCAACAACCACCACCACACTGTGTTCAACAACCACCACCACCACACTGTGTTCAACAACAACCACCACCACCACACTGTGTTTCAACAACAACCACCACCACCACACTGTGTTCAACAACAACCACCACCACCACACTGTGTTCAACAACAACCACCACCACCACACTGTGTTCAACAACCACCACCACCACACTGTGTTCAACAACCACCACCACCACACTGTGTTCAACAACAACCACCACCACCACACTGTGTTCAACAACAACCGCCACCACCACACTGTGTTCAACAACAACCGCCACCACCACACTGTGTTCAACAACAACCGCCACCACCACACTGTGTTCAACAACCGCCACCACCACACTGTGTTCAACAACCGCCACCACCACACTGTGTTCAACAACAACCGCCACCACCACACTGTGTTCAACAACAACCGCCACCACCACACTGGTTCAACAACCACCACCACCACCACACTGTGTTCAACAACAACCGCCACCACCACACTGTGTTCAACAACCACCACCACCACACTGTGTTCAACAACAACCGCCACCACCACACTGTGTTCAACAACAACCACCACCACACTGTGTTCAACAACCACCACCACCACACTGTGTTCAACAACAACCACCACCACACTGTGTTCAACAACAACCGCCACCACCACACTGTGTTCAACAACCACCACCACCACCACACAGTGTTCAACAACCACCACCACCACACTGTGTTCAACAACCACCACCACCACACTGTGTTCAACAACAACCGCCACCACCACACTGTGTTCAACCAACCACCACCACCACACGTGTTCAACAACCACCCCACCACACTGTGTTCAACAACAACCACCACCACACTGTGTTCAACAACCACACCACCACACTGTGTTCAACAACAACCACCACCACCACACTGTGTTCAACAACAACCACCACCACACTGTGTTCAACAAACAACCACCACCACACTGTGTTCAACAACAACCACCACCACACTGTGTTCAACAACACCACCACCACACTGTGTTCAACAACAACCAACCACACAACACTGTGTTCAACAACAACCGCCACCACCACACTGTGTTCGACAACCACCACCACCACACTGTGTTCGACAACCACCACCACCACCACACTGTGTTCAACAACCACCACCACCACACTGTGTTCAACAACCACCACCACCACACTGTGTTCAACAACCACCACCACCACACTGTTCAACAACCACCACCACCACCACACTGTGTTCAACAACAACCCACCACCACCACACTGTGTTCAACAACAACCACCACCACCACACTGTGTTTCAACAACACCACCACCACCACACTGTGTTCAACAACCACCACCACCACACTGTGTTCAACAACCACCACCACCCACTGTCAACAACCACCCCACCACCCACTGTGTTCAACAACAACCACCACCACCACACTGTGTTCAACAACAAACCACCACCAGTACACTGTGTTCAACCACCACCACACTGTTCAACAACAACAACCACCACACTGTGTTCAACAACCACCACCACACTGTGTTCAACAACCACCACCACCACACTGTGTTCAACAACAACCACCACCACCACACTGTGTTCAACAACAACCACCACCACCACACTGTGTTCAACAACAACCACCACCACCACACTGTGTTCAACAACAACCACCACCACCACACTGTGTTCAACAACCACCACCACCACACTGTGTTCAACACCACCACCACCACACTGTGTCAACAACAACCACCACCACCACACTGTGTTCAACAACAACCGCCCCACACCTGTGTTTAACACAACCGCCACCACCACACTGTGTTCAACAACAACCGCCACCACCACACTGTGTTCAACAACAACGCACCACCACACTGTGTTCAACAACCACCACCACCACACTGTGTTCAAACCACACCACCACACTTGTCAACAACCGCACCACACTGTGTTCAACAACAACCGCCACCACCACACTGTGTTTCAACAACAACCACCACCACACTGTGTTCAACAACCACCACCACCACCACACTGTGTTCAACAACAACCGCCACCACCACACTGTGTTCAACAACCACCACCACCACACTGTGTTCAACAACAACCGCCACCACCACCACTGTGTTTCAACAACAACCACCACCACACTGTGTTCAACAACCACCACCACCACACTGTGTTCAACAACAACCACCACCACACTGTGTTCAACAACAACCGCCACCACCACACTGTGTTCAACAACCACCACCACCACCACACAGTGTTCAACAACCACCACCACCACACTGTGTTCAACAACCACCACCACCACACTGTGTTCAACAACAACCGCCACCACCACACTGTGTTCAACAACCACCACCACCACCACACAGTGTTCAACAACCACCACCACCACACTGTGTTCAACAACAACCACCACCACACTGTGTTCAACAACCACCACCACCACACTGTGTTTCAACAACAACCACCACCACCACACTGTGTTCAACAACAACCACCACCACACTGTGTTCAACAACAACCACCCCACACTGTGTCAACAACAACCACCACCACACTGTGTTCAACAACCACCACCACCACACTGTGTTCAACAACAACCACCACCACCACACTGTGTTCAACAACAACCGCCACCACCACACTGTGTTCAACAACAACCGCCACCACCACACTGTGTTCAACAACCACCACCACCACCACACTGTGTTCAACAACAACCACCACCACACTGTGTTCAACAACAACCACCACCACCAACACTGTGGTTCAACAACAACCACCACCACACTGTGTTCAACAACCACCACCACCACACTGTGTTCAACAACAACCACCACCACCACACTGTGTTCAAACAACCACCACCACACTGTGTTCAACAACAACCACCACCACACTGTGTTCAACAACAACCACCACCACACTGTGTTCAACAACCAACCACCACCCCACCACTGTGTTCAACAACACCACCACCACCACACTGTGTTCAACAACAACCGCCACCACCACACTGTTTCAACAAACACCCCACCACCACACTGTGTTCAACAACCACCACCACACTGTGTTCAACAACACCACCACCACACGTGTTCAACAACCCCACCACCACACTGTGTTCAACAACCACCACCACCCACACTGTGTTCAACAACCACCACCACACTGTGTTCAACAACCCCACCACCACACTGTGTTAACAACAACCACCACCACCACACTGTGTTCAACAACAACCACCACCACCACCACACTGTGTTCAAACAACCACCACCCCACACTGTGTTCAACAACAACCCCACCACACTGTGTTCAACAACCACCACCACCACACTGTGTTCAACAACAACCACCACACACTGTGTTCAACAACAACCACCACCACACTGTGTTCAACAACCACCACCACCACCACTGTGTTCACAACACCACCACCACACTGTGTTCAAAACAACCACCCACCACACTGTGTTCAACAACAACCCCACCAACACTGTGTTCAACAACCACCCACCACCACACTGTGTTTCAACAACAACCACCCCCACCACACTGTGTTCGACAACAACCACCACCACACTGTGTTCAACAACAACCACCACCACACTGTGTTCAACAACCACCACCACCACCACACTGTGTTCAACAACCACCGCCACCACACCTGTGTTCGACAACAACCACCACCACCACTGTGGTTCAACAACAACCACCATCCACACTGTGTTCAACCAACCACCACCACACTGTGTGCAACAACACCACCACCACCACACTGTGTTCAACAACAACCACCACCACACTGTGTTCAACAACAACCCCCACCACACTGTGTTCAACAACACACCACCACCACCACTGTGTTCAACAACCACCACCACACTGTGTTCAACAACCACCACCACCACTGTGTTCGACAACAAACCACCACCACACTGTGTTCAACAACCACCACCACCCACTGTGTTCATCAACCACCACCACCACACTGTGTTCGACAACAACCGCCACCACCACACTGTGTTCAACACCACCACCACCCACACTGTGTTCAACAACCACCACCACCACACTGTGTTTCAACAACCACCACCACCACACTGTGTTCATCAACCACCACCACCACACGGTGTTCAACAACAACCACACCACACTGTGTTCAACAACCACCACCACCACACTGTGTTCAACAACCACCACCACCACACTGTGTTCAACAACCACCACCACCACACTGTGTTCAACAACCACCACCACCACACTGTGTTCATCAACCACCACCACCCACTGTGTTCAACAACCACCACCACCACACTGTGTTCATCAACCACCACCACCACACTGTGTTCAACAACAACCACCACCACCACACTGTGTTCATCAACACCACCACCACACTGTGTTCGACAACCACCACCACCACACTGTGTTCAACAACCACCACCACCACACTGTTCAACAACCACCACCACCACACTGTGTTCAACAACAACCACCACCACCACACTGTGTTCAACAACAACCACCACCACCACACTGTGTTCAACAACAACCACCACCAACCACACTGTGTTCAACAACCACCACCACCACCACACTGTGTTCAACAACAACCACCACCACCACCACACGTGTTCAACAACAACCACCACCACCACCACACTGTGTTCAACAACCACCACCACCACACTGTGTTCAACAACAACCGCCACCACACTGTGTTCAACAACCACCACCACCACACTGTGTTCATCAACCACCACCACCACACTGTGTTCAACAACCACCACCACCACACTGTGTTCATCAACCACCACCACCACACTGTGTTCAACACCACCACCACCACACTGTGTTCATCAACCACCACCACCACACTGTGTTCAACAACACAACCACCACCACCACACTGTGTTCATCAACCACCACCACCACACTGTGTTCAACAACAACCACCACCACCACACTGTGTTTCAACAACAACCACCACCACCACACTGTGTTCAACACCCACCACCAACCACACATGTGTTCAACAACACCACCACCCCCACCACTGTGTTCAACAACAACCACCACCACCACCACACTGTGTTCAACAACACCACCACCACCACCACACTGTGTTTCAACAACCACCACCACCACACTGTGTTCACAACAACCGCCACCACACTGTGTTCAACAACCACCACACCACACTGTGTTCAACAACAACCACCACCACACTGTGTTCAACAACAACCGCCACCACCACACTGTCAACAACCCACCACCACCACCACACTGTTCAACAACCACCACCACCACACTGTGTCAACCCACCACCACCACACTGTGTTCAACAACAACCGCCACCACCACACTGTGTTCAACACCCACCACCACCACACTGTGTTCAACAACCAACACCACCACCACACTGTGTTCAACAACCACCACACCACACTGTGTTCAACAACAACCACCACCACCACACTGTGTTCAACACACAACCGCCACCACCACACTGTGTTCAACAACAACCACCACACTGTGTTCAACAACCACCACCACACTGTGTTCAACAACAACACACCCACCACCACACTGTGTTCAACATCTACCACCACCACCACCACACTGTGTTCAACAACCACCGCCACCACCACCACTGTGTTCAACAACAACCACCACACTGTGTTCAACAACCACCACCACACTGTGTTCAACAACAACCACCACCACCACCACACTGTGTTCAACAACCACCACACACTGTGTTCAACAACCACCACCACCACCACACTGTGTTCAAACAACCACCACCACCACACTGTGTTCAACAACAACCACCACCACCACACTGTGTTCAACAACAACCACCACCACCACACTGTGTTCAACAACCACCACCACCACACTGTGTTCAACAACCACCACCACCACACTGTGTTCAACAACCACCACCACCACACTGTGTTCAACAACCACCACCACCACACTGTGTTCAACAACCACCACCACCACCCACGGTTCAACACCACCACCACCACTGTGTTCAACAACCACCACCACCACACTGTGTTCAACCACCACCACCACCACACTGTGTTCAACCACCACCACAACCACCACCACCACCACCCTGTGTTCAACCACCACCACAACCACCACCACCACATTGGTTCAATCTCAGCCCGACTGCTGCTGATGAGAAGTGTTGTGTTGAACCAATGCTGGTGGAAGGCTGATGCGATGTGTAAAATACACGTCTGTTCGTGAGAAGAGCCGGGAATCTCGCAAGGAGACACATTGGCGCCTGTTAAGTTCTCAAAGCACACTACTGCGGATAATACGAAACATAGAATTAAAATGTTGTCGAAGAATCCACTTCACGGGAATCCGTTCCGGGATTTGTCGCGGGAGACGCCAACCCCAACGAGCTCCGACTCCCGGAGCCGGAATCTCGGGGGGTGGCGGGGAAAACCCGGAAGTCCGAAATCCAACGACCCGAACTCCACGACTATTAAATTAAACTAAATTGTAACGGATTAAAACGACAGCGATTAAAGGCGCGCACACAGCACTCACCTGCACGTTCAGTGCTTTCGCCAGCAGCGCCATATCCCCGTTCTTGTTGTTAACTTAATGGTTTTTTTTTTTATGACGGGACCCCCACCCCGAAGGAAGATAGCGGCCTCGCCTATTTTTCCGGTGGGGCTAGGCGCAGGCTTTCCCCGCCGGGTTAACTAGGCCGTAAGGGGGTTGGAGAGACGAGGGTGGTGATTAAAATAAATCCGCGAATATTTTAAAAAAGCAAATTAACGCGAGGCGACTGTCGATGCGGGAACGAAGCCGGCAACGGAATATTTTCGTGGTGTTTTTTTTGTTTAAAATCCGACAATTATCGACGGGAAGCCGCCGGCGAAACTTGACCGCGACTGGCCCCGCGGTGTTTAGAACCTTTAAAGAAAATAGTTTCTGAAGTTGGGCGGAGCAGCGGGCGGTGATGCGTCCGTTGGCGAGCGCGCGCGCGCGCCCTCAAACCTTCCGCCGCCCTCCGCGATGAAAGTAGTGCCGCCAATGCATTGCAATGGGTGGGTGGGTGGGGGGTGGATTTGTGGAAAAACATCACAAATTGATGAGTAAATTGTTCGTTTTGTGACAAATTAATCAAGTCCCATCACGAGGAGAGAAACACAAACACGTAGACAAGAACTACATTTTGTTACATTGGAGTCTATGGGAGACTTCAACATTGGAGTTAATGGGAGACTTTGACATTGAAGTCTATGGGAGACTTCAACATTGGAGTCTATGGGAGACTTTAACATTGGAGTCTATGGGAGACTTTAACATTGGAGTCTATGGGAGACTTTAACATTTGAGTCTATGGGAGACTTTAACATTGAAGTCTATGGGAGACTTTAACATTGGAGTCTATGGGAAACTTTAACATTGAAGTCTATGGGAGACTTTAACATTGTGGTCTATGGGAGACTTTGACATTGAAGTCTATGGGAGACTTCAACATTGGAGTCTATGGGAGACTTTAACATTGGAGTCTATGGGAGACTTTAACATTGGAGTCTATGGGAGACTTCAACATTGGAGTCTATGGGAGACTTTAACATTGGAGTCTATGGGAGACTTTAACATTGGAGTCTATGGGAGACTTTAACATTGAAGTCTATGGGAGACTTTAACATTGGAGTCTATGGGAGACTTTAACATTGGAGTCTATGGGTAGAGACTTCAACATTGCAGTTAATGGGAGACTTCAACATTGGAGTCTATGGGAGACTTTAACATTGGAGTCTATGGGAGACTTTAACATTGGAGTCTATGGGAGACTTCAACATTGGAGTCTATGGGTAGAGACTTTGACATTGCAGTTAATGGGAGACTTCAACATTGGAGTCTATGGGAGACTTTAACATTGAAGTCTATGGGAGACTTCAACATTGGAGTCTATGGGAGACTTTGACATTGGGTCTATGGGTAGAGACTTCAACATGGCTGTCAACCCCTTATCAGTGCCCTACTTTATTACAGACCAATTCAGAGCTCATTGGTCACTCCGTGCCCCTCACGAATCTCAAAGTTCACGCGACAGAGTCCCATAATAAGTAGAGAAACACAAACAAATCGACAATTTATTTTATGCCTCCCGCATCGGAAGGTCTTGACCGCCGTACGGACCTGAAACTCTAACTTCCCTGAACAAGAAGAATACAGTTCAGTTTCAGCTTCATTTATGAAGTTCTTGAACAAAAAGTGACTATGCGCGCACAGAAAAATCCAGGAAAACACAGCAACGTCTTCCAGAGAAAGCACCGCATCTCACCGCCGCGTTGCACACATCCCAGTGGGATGCAAGTCAAACAACTTCAACCCTACGGGGTTGCGCCGTGTGGGTTGCCACGGTGCGGGGACAGTTTTTCGTGGCTAATTCATCACCTCGGAAGGTCTGGACTGCACTCAGGGGCCTCATCATCTCGTGCCTGCGATGGACAATTCACGTGAAAGTAAAACATCCCGTGGCCAGACGTCGGAGGTGCTGGATTATGACGGTCAGCCATGTCCTGGGTTCCAAAGTTCAAAGTTCAAAGTTCCTATGCTTCTATTTACGACTCCCCAAAGTCTATAAATTCCCCAAAATACGCCAATAAAACGCACAATTGCTAGTTACACTATAACCTTTAAACAAAAATACCGCTCAGAGCATTCGGGCATTCGACGTTTCAGGCAATGGTCCTTCTTCGTGTTGAATCGGTGGTGGTGGTGTTATTTGTAGAGCCAGAGTGCATCACCGTCACACTGATGTCCCATCCAGCAGTGGACAGACCCTGGTGGTGGTGACACTGAGAGACGCGGTAGAGACATCACCATCGTGTCACCACCACCACCACCAGGGTCTATCCACTGCTGGTGGTGGTGACACTGAGAGACGCGGTAGACATCACCATCGTGTCACCACCACCACCAGGGTCTATCCACTGCTGGTGGTGGTGACACTGAGAGACGCGGTAGAGACATCACCATCAAATAAATATTAAATAATAAATATGTTTAATGTCCTCCGAGCGGGATTCGAACTCGCGTGCCGCTGCACAGGTCACGTGGCATGCGGCTGCGCGAGGCGCGAGCGTGAGGGAGGGTAGAGGAGGGGGGTGTGGGTTATATAGGGGGTCTAAATATAGCAGCGGCGCCCGTGATTGGCTGACACGTTATGCAAATTATCTTTATGCAAATTTTTGCACGCCCATTGTATAGTGGACCCCCTCCCCGCTCACACCCCTTCCGCCCCCACCCTCTCACGAGGAGCGGTGGTGCAGCGGTGAGCGCACTGCCGCTTTTGTGTCTGCGTAGCAGGAACCCGGAAAATAAGTGACATTTAAAACACTTTTTTAAAAGACGCTTTTATGAAATGTACGAGTAATGGTGGAACTCCACGACTCCAGGAAGTGGCCACGAAGCTTGCCATAACGTAAGGGCAATTACAGTGAACGTGAGTTGAGCGTGGACAATTAGAGCCAAGCCGAAACATAACATATAAAAAGAATATTTGAAAAAATATATTTATTTTTTATGATAGAATATAGTATTGCCATCGATATGACATAAGTGTACCAAGTTTGCAGTCGATACCACATTGGGAAGTGGGTTAGAATTGAGTTACAAGATTTGAGGATACAACAACAGACAGAGTGAGTTAATCAAAAGCGTGTAAAAATATACCACGGCCACCACCACGAACCACGTGGAGCGATCGTCATCTGAGGCCTCCTCCCCTAGGTCGACTCAGCCTCAAATTAGTAGCGGGTTGCCAGGAAGCTGGTTGAATTGCAAACCAGTCTCTGTGTGAGTCTGTGGGTCTCTGTGAGAGTCTGTGGGACTCTATGTGAGTCTGTGTGTCTCTGTGTGAGTCTGTGGGTCTCTGTGTCAGTCTATGGGTCTCTGTGAGTCTATGGGTCTCTATGTGAGTCTATGGGTCTCTACTGAGTCTATGGGTCTCTGTGTGAGTCTGTGGGTCTCTGTGTAAATCTGTGGGTCTCTGTGAGAGTCTGTGGGACTCTATGTGAGTCTGTGTGTCTCTGTGTGAGTCTGTGGGTCTCTGTGTGAGTCTAAGGGTCTCTGTGTGAATCTGTGGGTCTCTGTGTGAGTCTGTGGGTCTCTGTGAGAGTCTGTGGGTCTCTGTGTGAGTCTGTGGGTCTCTGTGGGTCTCTGTGTGGGTCTGTGGGTCTCTGTGTGAGTCTGTGGGTCTCTGTGTGAGTCTGTGGGTCTCTATGTGAGTCTGTGGGTCTCTGTGTGAGTCTGTGGGTCTCTGTGTGAGTCTGTGGGTCTCTGTGTGAGTCTGTGGGTCTCTATGTGAGTCTGTGGGTCTCTGTGGGAGTCTGTGGGTCTCTGTGTGAGTGTATGGGCTCACTCTGTGATGAGTCTGTGGGTCTCTGTGTGATGAGTCTGTGGGTTTCTGTGTGAGTCTGCGGGTCTCTGTGTGAGTCTATGGGTCTCTCTGTGTGATGAGTCTGTGGGTCTCTGTGTGAGTCTGCGGGTCTCTGTGTGAGTCTGTGGGTCTCTGTGTGAGTCTGCGGGTCTCTGTGTGAGTCTGTGGGTCTCTTTGTGAGTCTGTGGGTCTCTTTGTGAGTCTGTGGGTCTCTGTGTGAGTCTGTGGGTCTCTGTGTGAGTCTGTGGGTCTCTGTGAGAGTCTGTGGATCTCTGTGAGAGTCTGTGGTTCTCTGTGTGGGTCTGTGGGTCTCTATGTAAGTCTATGGGTCTTTGTGTGATGAGTCTGTGGGTCTCTGTGAGAGTCTGTGGGTCTCTGTGTGAGGCTGTGGGTCTCTGTGAGCGCCTGTGGGTCTCTGTGAGAGTCTGTGGGTCTCTGTGTGAGTCTATGGGTCTCTCTGTGATGAGTCTGTGGGTATCTGTGTGAGTCTATGGGTCTCTCTGTGATGAGTCTGTGGGTCTCTGTGTGATGAGTCTGTGGGTTTCTGTGTGAGTCTGCGGGTCTCTGTATGAGTCTATGGGTCTCTCTGTGTGAGTCTGTGGGTCACGGTGTGAGTCTGTAATAAAGCTCGTTGAGGCGACTTCTGAAATTCGTCTTTTATTCAACTTATCTTACAGTTTACTTCACGCTGCTGATAGGCAGCATGAGAGGGACAGATATATAGAGAGAAACGCACTGCCACGTGGCAACTCGGAGCTCAGCTCCCGGGTGGCCTCCCCCCTCTGTTCGTTCCCGTTCTGACCACGTGTCGTTCGTCTCCACCCCTATTTAATACCCGGGTCACGTGGTACGTTTCCGCCAATCCTCGTTAGCCTGCATGGAATCTTCGAGGCTCCCTCGTCATCTCCCGGGACCACGCCCCTGACTCGTCTCCCCATTGGCTGTGGCCAAAGCCAGCAGAACCAATCCTTACAGCTGTCACCTCTCCATCACGTCAGGGCCATGCCCCTAGGCTTCCCCCCATTGGCTGTAAACCAGGACCGGCAGAGCCAATCACCATGACGAGTTGTGATACGTCAGTGAACCGGATATATCCTCATATTACAAGTCTATGGATCTCTGTGTGAGTCTGTGGGTCTCTGTGTGAGTCTGTGGGTCTCTGTGTGAGTCCATAGGTCTCTGTGTGAGTCTGTGGGTCTCTGTGTCAGTCTATTGGTCTCTATGTGAGTCTATGGGTCTCTATGTGAGTCCATAGGTATCTGTGTGAGTCTGTGGGTCTCTGTGAGTCTGTGGGTCTCTGTGTGAGTCTATGGGTCTCTATGTGAGTCAATGGGTCTCTGTGTGAGTCTGTGGGTCTCTGTGCGATTCTATGGAACTCTGTGAGAGTCTGTGGGTCTCTTTGTGAGTCTATGGGTCTCTATGTGAGTCAATGGGTCTCTGTATGAGTCTGTGGGTCTCTGTGTGATTCTATGGAACTCTGTGAGAGTCTGTGGGTCTCTATGTGAGTCAATAGGTCTCTGTGTGAGTCTGT